GGGAGTGAGTGGACAGAAATAAATTTCACACCTGGCCTTTTCAGGACAACTTCATCAGCCACCCAAAATAATTCAGCCAAGTATTGAGGGAGTCTATTAAATGGGATGTAGGCATAGTGATAGGAGATACAGTAGTGGACAGATTATTTTAAAAAATGTAGAGCCACATTCTGTGAGGCAACTTGTATCAGCAGGCAGTTGCTTTTGTAGAAAAAAGTGCTTTGGAAACATTTATACATAGTAAAACATATGAAGTGTTGCAGTGAGAATATATAGCCTATCAACAGAAGTATTGTTGGGGATGATGAAAACAGTGTAACCAGGGCTCATGTTTAAAGGTGCATCTGTCTGCACCTTAGACCAAGGTGAAATCTTTGCCTAAAGATAATGTTTTCACCTGTTTCTAATTGCTACAAAATAGTAACAGCATGGAATGTGGGCTTCTGGGAGTTGTAATCCAAGAGCATACGGGGCTTTAAATTTGTGAATCTCTACACTATAGGAAACAACAATGTTGTAGGCTTCCATGGTGTGGCCTCCTATTTATGTTTCTTCAAATGTTTCTTCAGTTACATTTCTTCATCCATCCAAGCATGGGAATTCATGCAAGGTCTTCTGTAGTCATTTCAATATGCATGCTGCTTAGATGAAAGTAAATAGAAAGTCTGTTCAAATAAGTATCATATCTTATGAATCTCTGCTCTGTTGTGGATATAATAATTGCCAAAGAACTTCATTTGGTACACTCTTATTTTTGCTTTCCAAGTACTTACTTTTTTCCAATGATTGTTATTTTCAAATGAGGAATGGAATAGTAACTGACAAACAGAATTTTAAATCATTTTAAATGTCACTGGACCTTTTAATAGAATTAATTAGCTTGCCACAGAGAAAATTTACTACCCTTCTAGTTAATTTCACAATGTAAAATCATGGGGTTAGAGGTAGAAGGAGAGAACCCTTATTACTTTAAAATAATTATTTAAAGATGTGTGCCTTGCCTTTTTCAAATATCGGGGCGGGGGGGAGCAGAATTTAGCAAGAGCTTTTAAAATATAAAAATTGTGAGTGGTCATGTCTCCTTTTGTAGGCGAGGAAGCCCACCTAGCTGAAATAAAAAAGTTATTGTATACTGGGTATTAAACCTCAATGGACACACAAGACTTGGTGGCATCATAACTGGGAATTGATGTTTGCTTTCCTATTACTGTTGCAATTTAAGCAAACTCATTTGCATTTAAAAGGCAGAGGTGAACTGAATTATATGCCTTGTAAACTTACATTTGTGGGTATTTCTGGTAAACGATAATTTTAGTTTTTAAGAAATTGAAAATCCTCCAGGAATTTCTGTGATGTTACATCTAAAATCTCTTTATTGATGGATTGTAATTGTTAGTTTTAAAATACTCCTGAGCTTTTCATTCTAAATGGTTTTCTCCAAAATACTACAACTCCATTATCTAAATTTAGCTATGAACAGTTTAATTGAATTCTTATATTGCAAAATCAGACTCATGCTAGTAAGTAATTAGTCTCTGAAACTACTAGCCTTTTGAAACAAAATCTGGAAGCAACTGACAAATGAAATACCAGATATATGGAGTACTAGCATAGGTTCTCAAAGTCCTGTAATGTACCTTAATTTTAGAAAGACTTTTGACAAGATCCTCCATGATATTCTTGTGGCTATATTGGTGAAATGTGGACTAGATTGACAGGCTGTACCCAAATAGTGATAGCCAATGGTTCCTTGCCATCCGTGATAAGTGGTGTACCAGAGGGTTTGGCCCTCTGTAGTTCAATATTTTTATAAATGATTTGGATGAGGGTGTGGATGGGATACTTTTCAAATTTGTGGATGGAATGAAAGTTGGGGGGGGTATGTAATACTTCAGAAGACAAAATCAGAACTTTAGAGGATCTAGAAAGATTACAGATGTAAGCCAAAAGAAATAAAATTATTTTTAGCCAGAAAAAAAAGTAAAGTCCTGCACTTGAGTGAAAAAAATAGTTGTACAAATATGGGCTGGGAGACCTTATCTGGAATACTGTGTCCAGTTCTGGGTGCCACAGTTTGAGAAGCTGGAACATATCCAGAGGCAGGCAACCACGAGGGCAATCAAAATGGTCTGGAAACCAAGCTATATGAAGAATGGTTGAGAGAATCAGGCATATTTAGCCTAGAAGAGAAGACTGAGAAGTGACATGATATGAAATATTTGAAAAGCTGTTATGTGGAAGGTGCACCCACTTGTTTTGTCCAGCTCCAGAGCATTGGATTTGCCATAACAGATCCACATTACAAGAAAGGCAATTTCAACTAAACGTGAGGATGAATTTCGTGATAGTAAGAGCTGTTTGACAGTGCAATAGGAAGTGATAGTTTCTCTTTCATTTGATGTTTTCAGTCAGAGGTTGATTGGCCACCTGTCAGGACTATTTTAGTGGTGAGTGTCCTGCTTCTGCAGGGAGCTGTGCTTGATGATCCTTGGGGCCCCTTCCAGCTCAGCTCTTCTATAATCCTACTCTCCCCATGCATCTCCCATATTTCTTCCCAGTATCTTCCCAGTGAATAATACTTTGTGTATGGATTACAAATACACTATAACTAAAGCTGAGGTCCTAATCACATTTACTAGGGAGTAAAGCTCAGTTGGGCCTTCTTAAATGAACAGTGCAAAGAAATAGAGGAAAATAATAGAAAGGGAAAAACCAGAGATCTGTTCAAGAAAATTGGAGGTATTAAAAGAACATTTTGTGCAAAGATGAACATGATAAAGGACAAAAATGGTAGGGACCTTACAGAAGCAGAAGACATCAAGAAGTGATGGCAAGAATACAGAGAG